TCTTTGAGTGTGACCATCAAGGCAATTCCTTATCCAACAAGTCATCCATCTGTCAAATCTATGCCTCTCCAATTTAGAGACAAGGATGTTGTGCGGGACAGCGTCAAATGCTTTGCACAAGTCCAAGTAGATGATGTCGGATGCTCTTCCCTTATCTACCAATGCTGTAACCCCATCATAGAAAGCCATTCGTTGATAATCTGTGTTTTGCCCATATAGGTTTTACAGTCCAAGCGGTGTTCCACCTTTTGCCTTGACATTTATTCTGCAAGCCTCAAATACACATAATTGGGATTTTTTTTCTGTTAATCATGCATTTTCCTGCATGCACTTATATCTGATGGTTGTGATAGACTCCAGTGCTCAGGATGACATAATTCTCTCTTGGAGCTTGGCGCTCCTAGGGAGGCTGCAGGTGTTGGCCTGTCACCCTCCCATCTTACCTCAGCCATGTGAGGGACACTTAACTCTTCATTTATTTTTTGGCTGGTTACTTCCCTGTTGCAGTTCTGTGAACTCCTTCTGACTTGTCTGTATTTGCAGATCTGCATACGTATTCTGGGGGCACTGAGTATTTGTGTTGGACCTCCCTTTCACAGGATAAAAGACCTTGATTTTCTGCTGCAAACCTGATTTTTGCCTTTTTTCCCTTGCCATGTCCCATTGTATTGTGCTTACTATGGACTTTTACATATTACCCATTACTATGATATATATATTTTGTTTTATATATATGTGTGTATATATATACAAAAAATAATGTCACCAGCATGGCCATCATGTGTCTTCTTCAGAGGGGTAGTTTTATTTGTATTTTTATAATGTGTACACTTATTTGTGAAAGCTAAGCTGAAGAACCTCACCTGGTACACTCATATTTAACTTGCCATCTATTGTAACATCTGTTATTTTCAACATTGCTGCTTTCCAGATTTCACTCTCCCACTGCATGGGTTTTTTTGGATTGTTTCCCTTCACTTGTCTTAGCCTGCTTTTTTCCAGAATGAATCTCATTTGATTATTTTCAGGCTGCATTTTTATTCTCTCTAAGTCCCTGTGCATTATTTCCTTGTCCACGTTATTTTTGCAGCTCCTTTGAATACGATATTTCCTGGAGATTTAAGTTAGCATGCTGTCTAGAGTCTCTTCTGGATCATTAAAGAAAATACCAAGTGAAATAGGACCTAATACAGATCTTTGCAATATTGCACCTTCTTCCACTGTTATCCTTTGCTTTTATCATGATTTATTTGCAGCCAGTTTTCAAATTGAGCCACAGCATTCATCTCAAAGTGCAAATCACTATCAAATGTTTACTAAAAATCAAACACATCACATCTGCTCTTTTTCCTTCAACTCCTAGTGCTGTAATGCTAGCCAGAAAAGGGGCCAATTTCTAGCCTGTTCTGCTCTTCTGAATAGAAATCATGGTTTCATTGTCCTCGGGCTTGTAGCCTGGTTTACTTTATAGGAAGCCTCATGAATTAAAACAGCTGGGCGGCCCGTTCTGAAGTTCAGTTTTCTGGAGAAAGAGAGCTGGGGAGGAAGCAAGTGGGGTTTATGCATGTGAGGGGGAGAAAGAGAAGAGGGATGTGTGTGGGGAGAAGGGGAGTCACTTTTATCTGCCCATGTCAGATACATAACTAAGTGATGGCAATTAGATATATTTCTGAAGAACTGGTTGAATCCCTGAATGTTCCTGTGTTTGTAGACTGTGGCTTCCCCTATAGTTAAGTGTTCCGTGCTGTCCTGCTTTGTTCTTCTGCAGTCTGCCATGCCATCGGTACTTGAAGCTACGGCTAAACTGAAGGCACAAGATGGCATCAGCAGCCATCTCCTGGCTGTGCACCTTGTAAAATTTGTCTGCTTCAACTGTTGGATGGGTATCCATCACACAGAAAAACTGTAACACTTTAGGGATGTGGTAAAAGGATCTTTCTCACTCTTAAGTGCAACAGGTAAATGGCCATTTTTGGTAAGAAACAAAAGAATTGAGACAAACGTGAGGAGATGACAGGATCTGTAGGAGAAAAAGTGAGAGCATGCTTAGTCAAGAACTCTTACAATGGTGAATGTGAGTTATAGTCCCTGGAGATCATGCAAAAGGCATCCCATTCATGGCTTTTTGCTTTGACCTGGCCATAATAAAATCTTGAAAGTTTCTGGTGACAGTAATGCCTGCACTGCGCTGGTTAGAGCAATATTTTATACCAGTGATTTAAAAGGATTGTTAGTACCCCTTTTCAGCTGGGGCAAACGGCTGGGAGCAGGCAGAAATAAATTTAATCTATTTTCCTAAAAAGGCTCTGCTTGTATTTTGGGTTGCATATCGTCTCTTCTTGCTCAGGCCTGCATCCCCTCTTCCCTGCTCCCAGCTTTTTCTCCCTGCTCGCAGCCCAGCTGGGACCACCACCCACGATGGGGATGATGGCATCTGGCAGTGGTTCAGCCTGGGTGTTGGTATCTGGAGTGTCGGGTCCGTGGAGGAGAGCAGGATGGGGCTAGGTAGAAGCTTAGGCTGTGCTTTGTGCTGGTGAAGTGGGGGTGTGGTTTTGGTTTGGGTTCTTTTTTTTTGCTAGAAGTGCAGCTTGAGCAATTAACACAAATATTGCTATTGAGGCTCCTGATCTAAGCTTTTAAAATTATTCCTAGTATGTTCAATACTGTTCGTGTGAAACACGAGAGGAATTGAATCTAGCAAGATGCTATGAAGAGATGTTAGAAGCTACGTTTTGTAATAACCTTACAAATTTTCATATATTGTACTGACAGCATATGCCTGCAGCATTGTGACAACTGCAGGCCTAGATAGACGTCAGAAGCGCCTTCATCGTTTTCCTGCTCTGTGCTACATTTTCCACCTGGAAAATCCCTTTCTCTTTGATGGCTGCACTAAAGCAATGGAGCTTTACAGTCCCAGGCTTTATACCCATGGTTATTGGGGTGCACAGGACTGTGGTCTGTCTCTCTGCTTCCTCCTCCTCCCTCCCTCCCCAAGTACAGACCTAAACTGAACAGTCCAGACTTAAAACCAAGCCCAGACCTAATCCGTGCCACCTCACAGTCTATTTGACTTTGTCCTCTTCGCTGAAACAGCACGGTATGTAGATTTTGACCAAATCAGAAAGCATCAAAGGAGCATCTGAGGTACACAAAGCAACCTGGGACTCGTGGGTGTCTGCTGATGTGCAGGTGGACCAAGGAGTGGCTGGAGCCTCCTAGCTCTGCAGGCCCCCAGAGTGAGAGCGGGGCTGGTGGGGGTCCCACACCTCCCTCCTCTGCCCGCTCTGCTCAGCCTAGCCAGTAGGTTGGTTCAGTCTCTGCTGAGTACTGCTGTGACCGAATGATTTGTTTTTGCTTTGCTTTATTATTTACTACGATGATCAAAGGAGCCACTCCTTGTGATCGTAAAGACAAGCCTTAAAATCTTATTTAAGAGCACAAATATTTTGGGCTTTGACAGATGTGCTTTGAAAATAACACAGATGTGCAGTGTCAGATTTCACCGCTGCATGCAGTGTCTTTGTTTCAAACTGTAAATTTGGCTAGTAGTGCTGGGCATGTGCTTTCCCAAAGCCTTGCCCCCTGCAACACAGGAAAAATAAGTTTCTGGATTGTGGGGTTTTTTTTCCCCCTGAATTTACCCGCTTAGAGAGTTTGAAAGGAAAATGATCTTAGCAGAGTGAGCACTCAGCCCTGTAAGGCTGCAAATCTATGGGTTATTTTTAACCTAATTACCTTGAATTAAACAAAAGCTTAAGAATTTTTTGCTTGAGTTGAAGGCAAGGCTAAGTAGACTTTATTTGCAGTGAAATTCCAATGGAAGACATGCTTCTTCCATTGCACTGTGCAGAATAATGCCCGTGGCATTGCACTACGTTAACAAACAGCGCTTGATTTTCTGAAGCATTGGCTTTTATGAGTTGATGCGAGAGGATATGCAGCTCCCGAGCAGTTCGCTCCTTTCCCATTCTCACCCCTCCTATGGATACAGTGATCACTTTGGACTGGTGACATTTTAGATGGAGCATGGTCTCCTTGCACTTGCCTGGCAGTGGCTAATTAACTGCATGTTAATTGAAACTGAAAGTTTGTCAGATGATTCAATTGAGTTACATGTTAAGTGGATTCAGTGCAGTAAGCATTACTGCTGTGATGAAAATCTCTGTGGAATTGATTTCTGAGCTGATTTGGAGAGATTCAACGGCTTCATCAGCAGCTCTGAGAGATCGGCATCGGGAGAGCGGGCAAAGGTAGCTGTGCTCCCAGGAAAACAAATCCTA